ATAGATCTATACACTCAAGCCACGCTCTCCTATGTTCGGAGATTCTGGTTACATGGGTAGTCCTCCACTCTCTAGTGCCAAGGAAGTGTTACAGAGGACGTGTCTCCAATCTTTAAGATTTCCCTTTACCTCTCGTGCCTAGGGAAGTAGTATCTATGACTATCTAAGTTCTAATGGATCCTGTCCTTTACACTCGAGCCTAGGTGTTTTATTAAGGACATTACGATTAATTTATGTTTTCTAATGGTGTCTGTCCCTTACACTCGAGCCTAGGTGTTTTATTACAAGCATTACAAATGTTTTATAAACTCTATCAGTATAAGTGTGAACAATCAATTGTGATCTATAAAATATAACAGTATATAACAAGAATTGAAATCGTTTGAACAAACAACTCTACAAGTTAAAACAGTATGATAGTGGGCTTTGAATTCTTAAAAGCATGTGAATTATGAAATCATTTAAAATGAAGTAATGAATTTAAGTACAAGATATCCTTGTACTTTGACTTGTATTCCCCCCTGAAAACATTTGAAAACCATTGAAAAAGGGTAGGGGTATGAACTCACCGGTTGAGAAGCGTCTGTAACATCCCGAAATAGCAAGGGTAGAGTTGAGGGACTAAAAGTGTAAGTTTTGGAGGGCAACTTGGCGAGTCCATGGATGGACTCGGCGAGTAGGGTCGCGACTTTGGTCGCGTGTCAAATGGCCTACTCGGCGAGTCCATAGATGGACTCGGCGAGTAGGTTCTGGGTGGAGAAAACCCTAATTCTCGGGGTTGAGCTCTATATAAAGAACATTATGTTTCCTCCCCAGCCTCTTTGATTCCCCTTAAGCCCCAGAAACCTTAATTTCGTGGAGGAACACCATTGTTGGGAAAATTGGAGCTTGGAGAAGTGCTAGTTGAAGAAATCTTCAAGGAGAAAAGTCTTGGATCAATTGGTTTTGCTTGGATTCAAGTTTCATTGTTGTTGGGGCATTCTTTGAAGGTAACCTCTCGTTCTTGAGCTGCTATTGTCTAGATTCATCATTTTTGGGGGTGTAGAGATCACATCTTTTGGTGTTTTGGAGTCTAGAGGTTAGATCTGAGGTTGCTACCTCAGATCTGGAATGGAGGAGGGTTGGAATGCCTGAAAGTACCTATGATTGAGTATGTAGAGAAGCCATATTGTCCCAAACTTTAGCCCTAATGTGTATAATGCCTAGATCTTCATGGATTCACGTAAAGTTTGCCACTTTATGTGATGGATGGGTTGTAGGAGGCTAGATCTATGTTTTGGATCAATTGCATGGCCTGGAATGCTTCTGTATGGATTCAGACCGATGGTACTCGACGAGTCACAAGGGTGGACTCGACGAGTTGCTTGAAGATGAGCTGGAACTCGACGAGTCGGATAAACAACTCGGCGAGTAGGTTGAAGATAGCCTTAGACTCGGCGAGTCTGTTCTTGGACTCGGCGAGTCTTGTCGAAGAGTCCCAATATTTTCTGGATGAGTCGAGAATCGGTGAGTCAAGGGATGACTCGGTGAGTTGGGTGCGGGTGGACTCAGAGTGGTTGGACTCGGTGAGTCTCGGTGTGACTCGGCGAGTCAGGTAGCGGATTGAGGAAAGTTCTGAGCTTGGGGACTCGGCGAGTCATCGGGTTGACTCGGCGAGTAGAGTCAGTCAGGGGTTGACTTTGACCTTGTCCAAGGGTTGACCAGTTGTCTTCCAGGGGTATTTTGGTAAATAAGGGTATATATTGAGTTAAGTGTTTTGGTGTTCAGTGAAGGAGTTCGTGTTGGAGTTCAGAGCAGCAGGATCTTATCCTTTCAGCCGACAGTTTCGAGGTGAGTTATCCTCACTATATCAACAGGGTCTAAGGCACCAAGGCCGACCCTTTTATCGGATTGAGATCTGGGTATCTATTGTTATGTTATTGTTTTGATATGTTTGCATCCTGGTAGTTAGGATGGTATTCGTTAGAGACCTGGTTAAGGTCAATATCCTGGTAGAGAGGATGATGCTATGCTAGTGACCGGATAGGTCGGTATCCTGTTAGAGTATGTTGTGTTATGTGATTTGCTAGATCGGTTTGCATGAATATGAATTGTTATGTGATTGTATGTTCATGTGTACATGGTTGTTTGGACTGGAGTTGGGTTGAGGCGGGTCCTGCTTTGTGCTGTAGGCCAAGATACCCAGGGCGGACCGGTTATTCCGAAGGCCCAGCGAGCGGTCCAGATAGGCTGTAGGCCCCACGAGGGCGGACCAGACGTGCCGAGGCTCGGAGAGTGGACCAGGCCGACTGAAGGCCCGATGCGGGCGGACCAGTCATATTGTAGACTCAGAGAGTGGACCAGGTGAGTTGAAGGCCCAGTGCGGGCGGACCAACCACACTGCAGACTCGAGGGACATGATTGGACACGGAGGGTGGACCAGGTAGACTGAAGGCCCTGCAAGGCAGACCAGTCCCATAGTAGACCCGATATGCATGGGTGTTTTGTGATTCGTTATGAGATAGAGTGATATGTGTATGGTATACGTGGTTGGTATTTTGGGGGTATCTCACTAAGCTTTCGGGCTTACAGTTGTGGTTTAATGTTTTTCAGGTTCTTCAGGAGACTGTGGCAAGGCGAAGGCGTGATCGTACCGCTCCTCATGATTTTGTAGCAATGTGATTCTGGGAATACTCTAATTGATTTTGTATTGAAAACGTTTTTGTAATAATTCAATGGAATCTGGTTGTTTCTAAAAAAAATTAAATTGGTTGTATTTTTCGGTCGTTACAGAAAGCCTTCTAGAAAGTATGGATGAGTAGGTTAAGGAATTAAGAGCTTAATGAATTAAGCTGGCTAGAGCGGCTCCCATGACGTGAGTGACTGACGTCCACGACGTAGCGAGAAGCTTCCTCACGATTGTTTTGTCCTGAGGTTACTACGACGTGACAGAAGCCTGGCCACATCATGTCCACCGGCTGTGAGACCCTTGGCTGTTAACTTTGACTTTGATCGTTGACTTTTTGACCAAGTCTGAGTATAGGTCAATTTGGTGGGTTTTGGGCTGTAGTTTGAGATTTGGTTCCTGCTTGTTGTATAAGTGACCTATAGTGCTGGTTATTGGATCAGTGAGCAGTGTTGTTATCTGGTAGATTGCGATGTGGATTTTCTCACTATATTTTGTACTGTAGTATGTATCATTGTGTGTAAGATGTTGGTATGTTGTAGTGATCTTTTAGATCGGTAGATTTTTATGATTACATGTGTTTGCTAGTTATTGTTTGTTTGTTTGCATATGTCGACATAGTGTAGTTAGGTTGAAGCGGTACTATTTTGTGTTGTAGGTCAACAAACCAGGCAGCAATCCAATTATATGTTGTAGGCTCGGGAGTGGTCCAGCTTTATGTTGTAGGATCAAGAGGCGGTCAACCATGTGTTGCAGACCTGGTTTGCATGCATTGTATGTGTGTTGCTGTGTGCGGTATTTTGACTGATTTCACTAAGTTTTGGCTTACGATTGTGAATTTTAATATTTCAGATACTTTAGATGATCAGGGCAAGACGAATGTGTGATAGTACACATCCTCTTACTTTTTTATGTTTTGAGCGATGATTTTGATACTTTAAATTCTATGGTTTTGTCTTGAAAACATTGTTTGATTATTTTTGAATTTTATGAAAACGTCTTTTGAAAATGAAAAATTTTATCGTGGTTTTTGAGACGTTACATATTAATATAATTTTTTTTATGATAAATGATATATTTACACCCACCAACTAGTTTATTTTTTTAGTTTTTTAAATTGTTATGTTTTATAAATCAAAAAATTGCTTATCTTATACTATTTTTTTTTTAAACTAATCAAATTTCTTATACTATTTTTTTTTTTAAACTAATCAAATTATTATTTCAACGAGTTTATTAAATCTTGTTTTTAAATTCTTCAAAATATATTATTTATTAATTATATAAAAAATAAAATCTTTTACTTGCATTTATATATTATTTTATATATCTCAAACTAGTTTTGTCAAAGATTATGGACTAACAACTAATAGGTTATGCCGCCAAATGAAGACTGATTTTGGTCACTTGCTGACCAACTCTTCGAAAATGTAATCTATTGCAAATTGAGTAAATTACAAGAATGGAGTCTATGGTTAGAGATATTTATATATTTAGTCTTTAACTTATTTTTTTAATTCGGAAAGTTCTTATTATTTATTTTTGTTGCACGTTTGGTCACTGTTTTACCTAAAATAATTATTTTGTTTTTGATCTTTTAATTTATTTAAATAAGATGGTATAGATAAGATAAAGTAAAATAAGGTGGAAGTAGGGTTGGAGATGTATTTATTTAAATAAATTAAAAAATTAAGAACAAAATAGTATTCTTAGGTAAGACAGAATCAAACACGCAACAAAAATAAACAATAACGATCTTCCAAATTAAAAAAAAAAAAAAAAAAAAAAAAAAAAAAAAAAAAAAAGTTATATACCAAATATACAAACTACTCCAAACCATAAAAATCATTCGTGTATATCATGCTTCACAACTTAAATATAAAAAGTGTTTAATTTTGGATGCTTTTTGAAACATTGTCTTCTAGATTTGACTAGGTTCTAGAATGGAAATAACTGCGTTTTATATTTTAAATTAAAATATAATACACATAAATTTATTTATCAAATATATAAATCATGCGTTTTAAGTAAGAAATGTTTTCACAACATCATTTTAATAGCAAAACTATTTTAATAAAAATTAGCAAATTAAACATGTTGGATCCTACGTAGCCAAACAATATTTGAGGTTCACGTTTTTACTCAACACAATATAGCGAAACGTATTCAATTACCTTATTACCCTTGTAGGATATTCCCGCCAAATTGTTTCCCTTAAATATTACAAGCTTCCACTCCCCCTTCGTTTCAAAATAAACCAGTACACCAACTGTCGCCGGCGAAGTCCAATCCCTCTTTCTCAAATACACTCCAACAGGAGGAGCTTTATCGGAAA